TAAGTTCCCTAATAGGAGACTAGATTAGATTATATATGCTAAAGCATTTTTCATGTACCTTAGCTGCAATATGTATAACACCACCAGATGTAAAGAACAAAGACCTTTATTGTTTTTACTTATTACCCTGAATATTCACCTTATAGATGGATATTCTACTCTTTTCTCTTATTATTCAACCTTTTATGGATGAAAGGATCTGGATAAGAGTAAGTCCACTCCTGGAATCATCTGCTATTCAGGTAAGTATAGCAGAAAATGTTGATAACATTGGATGGGAGAAAAGGAATATTAAAATGTTATTTTACCTTTTACCAGGAGTCTGGAAAAAGAAAGAAATGAAGAACTAATCACTGAAGGGAAGTCAACATTTGAATTTGATATGCATAGTCAGCAAGAGTGACAGGGAGAATGTCCATTCCTAATAACACCCAGTTCCATCCTTCTTCCTTCCTATTGCTTGGCATCCCAGGGCTAGAATATGTACACATATGGATTGGATTTCCTTTTTTCTTTGTGTACCTTGTTGCACTCCTCGGGAATGCTACTGTCCTGTTTGTGATTCAGACTGAGCATAGTCTCCATGAACCCATGTATTATTTCCTGGCCATGCTGGATTCCATTGACCTGGGATTGTCTACAGCCACCATCCCCAAAATGCTGGGCATCTTCTGGTTCAGTCTGAGGGAAATATCTTTTGAAAATTGCCTTTCCCAGATGTTCTTTATTCATTTCTTCACTGCCATGGAGAGCATTGTGTTGGTGGCCATGGCCTTTGACCGCTACATTGCCATTTGTAAGCCCCTTCGATATACCATGATCCTCACCAGCAAAATCATCAGCCTCATTGCAGGTATTGCCATCCTGCGGAGTCTGTGCATGGTGGTTCCACTGGTGTTTCTCCTCCTGAGGCTGCCCTTCTGTGGGCACCATATGATCCCTCACACTTACTGTGAGCACATGGGTATTGCCCGTCTGGCCTGTGGCAGCATCAAAGTCAACATAATATTTGGCCTTGGGAATATGTTTATTTTATTATTAGATGTGATTTTTATTATTCTTTCCTATCTCAGGATACTCTATGCTGTCTTCTGCCTGCCCTCCTGGGAGGCCCGGCTCAAAGCTCTCAATACCTGTGGCTCTCATGTTGGTGTTATCCTAGCTTTTTTCATGCCAGCATTTTTCTCTTTCTTAACACATCGTTTTGGCCACAATATCCCTCGATATATCCACATTCTCTTAGCCAATCTATATGTGGTTGTTCCACCAGCCCTCAATCCTGTAATCTATGGGGTCAGGACCAAGCAGATTCGGGAGCAAATATTGAGGATTTTTTTCATGAAAGATGGTTAACCATCAGTAGTCTTAGAATGTCTTACAGTTCATATTTCTTCCATATGTTCATTAGAAGGGATTTAATTCCTAAAAAGATAGAAGGCAGGGAGCAAAGAGGAATATGAACAGTAATGACATTCATTTCTCCACAACCTCTTGAGTTTAAGGATACTAATGTGTTTATTGATGATAATACTATAATGTGTACGAATTAGATCTTTCACAAAGTGATTATATTCATATATTGTTTGATCATCAAGGTAACCCTATAAAGAAGTTATTCTTTAGTTTTCAGATTAATAACTTGATTTTTAAGTCTATAAAATGTTTCATCTGAAAATTCAGCTATTAGTGGAAGGTAGATAATTAAGCCATATGATTTTTAAATTGTAGCAGTTTCTGAATCACTCAAGGGAATGTGACAGCAATGGAATAAAATTTGTTCAGGCATTGTACATAACTTTGGTGACAGGGTTCACAAAATAATAATAATGGCACTATTTATCATTACCATTTACTGTTCTAAATAATTTACTTATGTTGATACACGTGTTTCTTATGTGAATTCTATATGGCTGTTTGGTGAGAGACAGATAAAGTGACAGAATCTTATGTTCTGAGAAATGAATGGTGGGAGGCTATTTAGGCTAAGAACATTATGCTATAGATTTACGTGTTAATTTATATGTGGGAGAGGCTCTTTAGAAACTTTGTATTATAATAATATACAATAAATATTTCAGGTATTAAGCCAATATATTAAAGGCAGCCACGCAAAAGTGGAAATATATTTGACTTCTTTTTACTTTCTGTGATAATCATAGGGCAAATTATTGACCTAGTTCATAAAAAAAGGTGTCATTTGAAACTACATTCAAGTGAATCTACCAAAGTTATGTTATCTCTCTTACTTCAATTGAATATTTTGATTCTTTGTCAATTTATGATCATGGAAATTCTACTGCATGACCAGAAAAGGTCATAGATAAAAGAATTTTAGGTAGTATCTTCTAAATCTTGTCATAATTCTAGGAAAAGTATTGTGAACAGGACAGCATAGATGTTTGCATGTGATACTTGTTAAAAATTCCATAAGCTATAGTTAAAATTTTTTTTTTTTGTATTTAGAAAACCTAATTGATCAAGAGAACATACTGGGTCAATTCAATAAACAGACATCAGACAAATTAAGTCAAGCTAGCCTTTATATTTAAATCTTTCTGTCTCTAGCTAGATAAGGTAAGAAAGTTTTAGTCAGCCAAATAGACAACATAGGAACTTATCTATTGGTACATGATGAGCAAAAATAGTATTGGACATTCATGTATAAATAAATGCAAAAATTAAAAACATTATGTATAGCAACTTGGCCTTTGGATAAAATAATCATGGAAAGAAGATAAATTTCTGATTTCTTAAAGAAATAATATACATATTGGGTTTTTTAGTAATCAGAGGATGAAAATTAAAAATATCTCCTTGGGGTACTTACATTGTCTAATGTAAGTACTGGTGTTCATCAACATTTTTCAGTTTTTGAAACTGAAACAGTTTTTCTTTCAAAAACATGGAATGATTACCCGTATCCAGCCCCTTGTAGTTAGACTTGGCTGTGTGACTTGCTGTGGCAAATAAAAATATTTGTAGAAGGGACTTGTGTCAATTCTTGTAGGAAACACTTAAGAGTGATTATGTGTTGTTGTTCTCCTATCATACAAAGAATTCTTTCCAAGTGGATTGTAGATGTAAACTTGAAAGGGAAAATAGTACAGCTTTTAGAAGCAAGGAGACTATCTTTATGACCTTACAATCAGGAAAGATTCAAAAATAGAACACAATTACATATGCTAACAATATTGGAAACATATTACTTAATCAGTGTATATTATAATTAAGAGCTTCTTTAATCAAATATACTATTAACAGAGAAAATAGGCAAACCAGCTGACTTGTATACAGAATATATCAATAATTCCTACAAACTGATAAGAAGAAGAACACATTAAAATGAACAAAAGATTTGTATGGGATTTTTTTTACAGGAGGATATCCAAATTTCTAGTGAATATGAAAAGTTGCTCTACTAACTTAGTAAAAAGAGATATAATATTTAAAATCACTAGACAGTTCCACTATACGCTGACCAGAATGTCTAAAATGTAAAAAGATGTGGAGTAACTGGAATCCTCATACATTGATGGTAAGAAGGTAAATTGGTAAAATAACTATTGAAAACTGGCAGTATTTCTAAAAGCTAATCATATGAATATTCTATGACCCCAAAATTCCTCTCCTAGGTATACATCCATCAAAAACATTACATATTTTCACCTAAAGATGTGTGCCTCAATTTATCACAAATATACTATAAATAACAGCCAATAATTGATACAGCTCAAATGTACATTAATAGTAGAATGCATAAATATAGTGTGGTATATTTATATAATGAAACACCAAGTGGCATTGAGAATGAACAAATATAGGGTGTCCCAAAAGTTGCCATACATAGGAAAATGGGAGATTGTAGCTAAATGTACCTTTACTTACAAAATATACACAACAAAATTTTATAAAATTCTTCCTTTGAATGGAGACTTTTGGGATATCCTCTATAATTACAAATAACATATTGAGTGAAATGAATCAGATAAAAAAATTAATTATATGTGAAGTCATGCACTGCATAGACATTTCTATCAAGGACAGACCACATACACAATGGTGGTCCCATAAGATTATAATGGAGCATATATAGAAAACTGGTATCTGGCACTTGATATTGGTATTGCAGATCAAGTAGAGGAAATGATTGATATTTAGTAATGGTACTGAGGCATTTATTCTACTAAGTGAAGTATCTCAAGAATGGAAAAACCAGCACCACATGTACTCACCATCAAATTGGTGTTAACTGATCAACACTTATGTGCACATATAGTAGTAACATTCATCAGGTGTTGTGCACATGGGAGGGGGGAGGGGGAGATGGGTGTATTCACACCTAATGGGTGCAGTGCGTACCGTCTGGGGGATGGACACGCTTGAAGCTCTGACTTGGGTGGGGCAAAAGCAATATATGTAACTTAAACATTTTACCTCCATAATATGCTAAAATAAAAAAAATATATATACCATCTAGGTTTGTGTAACATTGACTGTAGGTACAACATTGTATAGCAGACCTCTAGAGCTTATTCATCTTGCTTAACTGAGACTTTAGGCCCTTTGAATAGAAACTCCCTATTCCCCTCCCACCCCGATACCCTAGCAACCCTCTTTCACTCTTTGATTCTACACATTTGACTATATTAGATACTTCACGTAAGTAGAATCACCTAGTCTTTGTCTTTCTGTGATGGCTTATTTCACTTAGCATAATGTTCTGAAGGTTCATCCACATTGTCACATATTGTAGAATTTTCCTCTTTTTAAAGGCTAAATAGTATTCTATTATATGTATAAATCACAATTTCTTTATCTATTTGTCTGTCAATGGGCATTTAGGTTGTTTCCATGTTTTGGCTATTGTGAATAGTGCTGAAATGAACATGGAAGTGCTAATATCTCTTTAAGATCCCAATTTAAAATCTTTTGAATAAATACTCAGAAGTAGAGTTGCTGGACCATATGGTAGTTTAATTTATACTTTTTTGAGGAACTGACCTCCATATGGTTTTCCATAGAGGCTGCACCATTTTGCATTCCGACAAACAATGTACAAGCGTTCCAATTTTTCTACATCCTTGCAAACACTTTTTTGGTCTTTTGTTTTTTAGTAATAGCTATCCTGACACGTGTAAGGTGATATCTCATTGTGGGTTTAATTTACATTTCCCTGGTAATTAGTGGTGTTGAGCTCCTTTTCATATATCTGCTGGCCATTTTAATGTCTTCTTTGGAGAAATATCTATTCAAGTCTTTAGGCCAATTTTTTAATTGGGTTGTTTTTCCCTATTGAGTTATAGGAGTGCTTTACATGTTTTGGAGACTAACCCATTATCAGATATATGGTTTGCAAATATACTTCTCCATTCTATAGGTCACCTTTTTATGCTACTGATTGTTAACTTTGCTGTGCAGAAGCTTTTTTAGTTTGATGTAGTCCCCCAAGAGTAATGTCACGAAGCTTTCTTCTAGAAATATTTTATAGTTTTACAGTTTCAGGTCTTACATTTAAGTATCTCCTCCATTTTTACTTGATTTTTGTTCACGGTATAAGATAAGGGTCCAATTTCATTCTTTTGCATGTAAATTGATCCAAGAGCCTCCTGATTATTTGATTTTTTAATATGAGGTTTGTTTTGTTTGAGTAACATATGTGTAGAAATTGATTGCATAGAGTGAGCTGTTTTATTTGTGGTATCCTCATCTTAATCATGTTATTTATAAAATTATTGCTTACCTACCATTATCTATCAAGCTAAGTTCCCATAAATCCACAAAGTCTATTTTTTTTAAAAAAATAAGCAACCTATATGAACCATATACACCCTAATCATGACATTCATATTTACTATCTGCTAGTAAACAGAATTAATATGCTTACCAGGATGACTAGTTATTAGTATGTTTACAAGTGAAGTTAACTGGAGTAGTTGATTTTCTTGAGCCTCCCAAAGAGGGAGAGAAAAATGTTTTCAAACCTGCTGCTACTCCTTTGCTTCCTAGTAGGCAAACAGTCTATGGTGTTAAAAGTCAGGATTGTGGTTGCTTTTCAAGTAGTAGTAACTAGGAGCTGTAGTAACTAGGAGTAGTAGTAACTAGGAGCTGATCTGAGATGGCTTCTGCATTATGAATAATATTCCATTTCTTGATCTGTTTTATACTAATACTTTGTGAAAATCTACCAACCCTACTCTTAATGCTTCCTACATTTTCCTAGTAAGTCTGTAAAACTTCAATATAAATTATACTAAAATATATCTCAAGAATAATGAGCATAAATTTTAAAGGTAACATCTAAAAATACAAAACTTTTACAAGACAACATAAGAGAAAAATCTTTGTAACCTTAG